GCTCTTCCCAGTGTGGCCACAATGATCAAGTCTCTCTTCTCTGCTCTATTTCTTGTCTTTTGAACTGGCCTGTTGGAAATGGGTGGACAAACCTAGCTTGTCAGGGGGGTCTCAGGCCTCAGACTTTGACCCTAAATGCTCTGGTAACAGGTAGGAAGACAAGTAAAGGAAAATGCCTTCTAAATATTGGGTTTGGTTCTGCTTATGAATACAGGGATCTGGAAGAGGTCTTAGAATTTTCCCTATGAGCCGGTTGGCGGTGGCGCACGCCTTTATTCCCAGCACTCAGAAGGCAGAGGCAGGCGGATCTCTTTTGAGTTCGAGGCCAGCCTGGTCTACAAGAGCTAGTTCCAGGACAGGAACTAAAAAGCTACGGAGAAACCCTGTCTCGAAAAATCAAAAAAGAAAAAAAAATTTCCCTATGAATTTGGGGAAACTACTATGCTAAAAACCAAAATCACCAGCAAAGCTCCAGGTGACATTAAAGTATGTTCAGTAAATGTCTATATGTACATTCTGATCCCTTTTCGTGGAGTTACAAGCTCCTTCCAGGCAGGCCTGGGGACTTCCCCTCTAGCAGCCTTGCATACGTGTTAATATTTTATTGAATGGGAATGAAAGGAACTAGCTTTTGTTGTTCCTAGGGGCAGAGAGTAAAGTCAGTGTTTGCCTCACTTTCCATGTAAGGGGAAGATTCTGAATATTCTGAAAGATTTGCATTCTGACAGCACCTAGGAATGGCAACAGTCTTTTTTCTCAGACCAGCTAATGCCAGTCACCCTTAGACTAGCTACTTCACCCTAGCTGCAGGAACAGATTCATTTCTGCTCTGCATTTTTTCTTAGCTCATTGCAACTTTTCTCCAAGTTTCTTCAACATCCACCCAGTCATCCATAAACTGACACCTGTTATGGTCAGAGGTGATATATGGGGTATGACTTACCAACTCTGTGAACAGGGCCCCCAAATTTCTTTGTTATGGGGACAGTTTCTAGCATTGCTTCCTTAATTCACTTTTAGCATTTTATCATCACTGCTCTGCTGTCCTATAAAAATGTATTAATCTGACAGAAAGGAACAACACTATTAACATTCAGGTACACACATGCCGTTGCTCACAAGTGTAGGTAGGTAACACTTTGGGGAGTCAGTTCTCACTGAGACTGAGATGTTTCTGCCTGTGCACAGCCTCTTCCAGACTACCCATTTCTGCCTCAGAAACTACTGAGAACGTCTCCCATCCCCCTTCTAATTTTGCTACAGAAGTGCTAGCGTGTTAGAGGCCCCTCCCCCACATTCAGATTTTCTAATGACTCCTCGGACTTGGATTTGGGTTAGCAGGGTTGTATGACTAGCATTTTATCTGTGAAGCTGGGACTCTCTCTGGTCCACCTAAATCTCTTCTCTCCCTGAGAGTGTTTCACTTGTCAAAACTGAGGAAATGGTTTTGTTGTTAATGGATTTGCCTTGCCCGTAACCCGTATACTAAAAAGATGAATTTGATGGTGCACACTTGTAATGTCAGCTCTGGGGAGGCTGTTATATGTAGAGCCCTGAGGTAATTGGCTAGCCACTTTAGCACACTTTAGTTCCAGCCCAGTAAGAGGTCAGCCTTACAAAACGAGGTAGACCACATAAGAGTAGTTGATTTCTGCCCACCATATGCATATCCACACATGCTCATTCCCCCAAAGAGCACACACACACACACACACACACACAACTTGTAACTTCCAGAACATACCGTTAGACCTCCAACACTTTATTGATTTAAGCTACACATTCCAATTACAAACTTCCTTTTGATATTCCTGCAGTTTTTCAGCTACAGTGGTTAGTTCTCTAGACACAGATTGTGCCAGGCTTGACCAGTGGCATTATCACCTAAACTTCATCTCTTTTCTACCTGTGTCCTCTTTACTCACACAGCTAATCTGCTTGCTGGGCCTTCAGTGATCCCACCAGCAGCTCCCCTTCTTGCCCCCTTTATTCCTTTCTCCTTCTTTCCCTTCCTTTTCTCCTCCCCTTCCTTCCCCTTCTGTTTCCCCTCCTATTCATTTTGCTCATTCTTTTTTCTCCTCTTCATTTTTCTCATCTACTTCAAGTTGAGAACCATCTGCTATTGGCATTGATGATAAAGAATGCCAGTATTGAGAAGAACTACTATAATAATGTCAGTGTATGAGCTAAACCTGAGATAAGGATATGAAAGGTACTTTGAAACAGATCTCGTTGTCAGAATTTCCTCACCATGCACAACCATCGAGATGTGACTAAGAGGCCTGTTTTCCTATGGAGGAACTAGCAAAGCCTCCCTGCTCCGTGATGACCGTTAAGTCTGAGAGCCAGACAGCTTGATACGCTCCCAGTCAATATCTATCTATTGACTGCCCAAAGTGAGCAGTACTCCATCAGACTTGAAAGAAGGAAGCTGACATCCTTTTGTAAAGCTGAAAAATGACCTGAAAGGCTTTGTTAGGGTGTCAGCAATCTACACTGTGAGGAGATTATAGAAGCCTGAGACATGGTAGAGAGACCCTGAATGTGCACCTGTGAATGCCACCAGAGAGATGTTCAGCATATCAAGGACAACCCCTTGATGGAAGGCAGACAGGGGCTGATGAGCAACTGCCCTGTCAGTTAGCAAGCCAACTCAATATGTAGCAATCATTAAATGCATGGCTACCGAAACCCAGTATTGCTTGAAAGAGCATGTGTCAAATGAGAAAGGACCACTTTGAGGGGACACTCAATCTACTATCATTCCAGCTATCTGAAAAAAAAAATGTGTTCGAGACTCCCCAAGAGCACAAGTGATAATCTCCATTTCAATAAAAGATTGTTTGGCAAAATGATATGGTAAATAGTTTGATCTATTAAGTAATTCTAGCAGGAAAAGGAAAATAAGTCACAGAAAAGAACTGTGAAGTATACATTATCCCATGACTTTTGGAGAGTTAGAAGTATGAAGTTATATATTTCACCCACGAGCGTGGGCTCAGTATCATCTCTAAGGAGTAATCATGCATATAGTACATCTCATGGGCTTTGGAAGAAAGCTCAACTAGAAGTGCTTGCTGTGAACAAGCATGAGCCCTGAACCTGGTCCTGAGAGCTCATGCGGAATTGAAGCAAGAGTGCTGTGTACCTGCAACCCCAGAGCTAGGTAACAGACAAGCAGGTCTTGGGGTATTGCTAACCAGCCACTGCAGCCAAAACAGTGAGATCCCAGTTAGGCGAGAAGCCCCATCTCAGAGAAAACTAAGGAGAGAGGAAATGGACAGATGTCAGCCTCTGCCTTCTACATACACTAGTAAAAGTGAGCACATGTGCAGACTTATGCCCACACATACATACACACCAATACACATACCACAAAAGCAAACATAGCTGTGGACCATGCTACGACTCTTTGATTATCCTGCTCCAAACAAAATGACTCTCATCACCCCTCATACCATTAGACTCCCCCTTTCCCAGACAGCTTCATTTCTACTTTCAAGTCACCTGTAGAGTGACTGGAGGATCTAATACACTCTAGGACCAACAAATGAGACAGCATGCCTGGAAAACTGAACATTAGACAAGCCAGATGCCTCAGCCACACCACTCATGGGTTTTTACCTAAAGAACCCCAATTCAGTATCTCATAAAGACGTGTACATCAGTACTGTTAGCAGCGCTTTTCACAATAGCAAAATATGGAACTTTCTTAGGTGCTTGCCAAAGGAGGAACTGATAAAGCAAATGTAGTTGATAGGCATGATAAAACTCTTTTCAGTCCTGAACAGGGATGAAATTATGCCAACTGCAGGAAATGGATTCAGCTCCTTTTCAGATGTGTGAGCCCAGCCCTCTTCTCCGGTCTCATCACTCGTTTTATGATTACTGTCCTCTTTCAGGTCCTGGGATCCTGCCCAAGTCCTCCAGTAGATATCATTATACTCCCTGGATCCACTTTTTCCAGTACTCTAAGAATCCTTTTCTTCTCTGATTCTATAATCTTACTTCTTGTGTTTGAATGCATTTCCCTCCTATCGGTGACAGTAGGGCAGTATCAGGTCAATGGAGTGTGAGAAGTAACTGCCAACCCCTCTTTCAACAGAAGCCTTTGAATAACCACGCAGGTTTGCTTCCTTACCATGTGATTGGTTTCTTTAGCCATGGCAACATTCAGATGAGGAGACTTCTGCCATAATGAGGACAATGAGGAAGAAAGCCTATCAATGTCTGGGGTGCTTGTGGGCTAGCCGTGTTGTAGTTTGAGTGTGAAATGGCTCCCACATGCTCACACTTGAACACACTTGAACCCTGACTTGTGGTGCTGCTTGGGAAGATTGCAGAATCTTTAAGAGGTGGAGCCTCATCACAGGAAATGAGTCTCTGGGGGGAGGGGGGCTTGAATCTCTACAGCTTTTCCCTATTTTCTGTTCACTTTCTGCTTCCTGATTGTGAATACAAAGTGACCTTTCAGGATGTCCATTCTCTCTGCCTTGCTGACCCCCCTTGTAGACATGTCTTCCTCCTTTGTGATGGAATGTATCCTCTGGAGCTGTAAACTCAAATCAACCCTTTCTCTCTTAAGTTGCTTTTGTCAGAGTGTTTTTATCAACGCAATGGGAAAATGACTAAGACGTACATTGTGCCACTTGCTACTTGTACCAGTGTAATATATATTAGTTACCTGTTGCAACAGTATGACTGAAGCCATCAAGACAATGCCATTTGTCCCACAGCTCCCCTATATACTTACAGCACCATCTCTCCTCTTTTTTAGCATACGTCCAACTTCACTTTGTCCTAATTTCATAAATCCACAAAATATATCTTCTGTCATTGAACTTTCCAAGCATGATTTAGGATTTGAGATATAACATCCTATTGGATAATTCGTGCTAAAGGGATAAACAATGCCCACACCACACTGAAGAGTCAGGGTCCCCACACTGCATTCCTTGAGCTGTGCCCATTCACTGTGGGCACACTGTGTGTGTACTCACAGTCGTGACAGGTGGCTCCCGTGTAACCGGTGTCACTGCAGTTGCAGTCAAAGGTAGTCCAGGATTGGACACAGTGTCCTCCATGTTCACAGTAGTTTGGCAAGCACCTAATGGGAGATAATGCATAATACACAAGGTAAACCAAGACAATTGCAACAGATTGAAGCAAAAACTTTGGGAGCAGCACTGAAAAACAGATTCGCTAAAGTCCTATAACTGTCAGAATTAAATATGAAAGCCATACAGATCTGCCGGCACTTCTGGGGAGTGGGGATCTCAGAACTGAACTCTACCTCTAGTTAGAGTGTAAAGCTGTTGCACATGGTTAAACAGAAGTGGGAGCACTCTATTGAACGCAGTGTTTATTGTGGTGCACAGTGCAGAAGGGTGATTACTTTATGTTTAAAAGTGTAGAGGCTTTTGAAAGGAAATGAAGAAAGTAACAGTCGTGGAGATTACTGTCTGTGCTTCTTTTAGTTATGATGCCAAGAAAATTACAAATAGCCTGATTTTGATGGTGTGTACTATGGAAAACAAGATCCCAACATCTGATATGGTCATGACTTCATGCATATGAAGAATGTAAAAGATAAACTGATAAAGCTCTGGTGACCTACCGCACACAGCACAGCAAGAGATGGACGGAGTGCTGATGACAAGTGCCCATTTGGTTTTGCTTGTCCTCAGGACCACCTTTCATTCCCATACCCTCTGAGGACTGCTGTAAAGTGTGTTGCATTTTGTGAGATAGACCAAGAACTCTCCAGGAAAATAAAGATTTCATGTAGTTTGGCTGGATTTAAGACTCTGTTACTTTGAACTAACCGAATCTTAATTTTTTTCTAGGAAAACCTCCAAGGTTGTGGAAGAAATAAATAGCTTAACAAGTAAAGTATTTGCTTTACAGACATGGGGACCTGAGCTCAATCACACAGAATCCAGGTATATGATGGTGCGTGCTTGTAATGCCAGCGTTGAGGAGGCACAGGGAGCCAAATCCCTTGAACTCACTGGCTGTCTATACTAGTCAGTTTGGTGCGTTCCAGATCAGTGAAATATCCTCGTTCAAGGATCCTCATGCAAGGTCAATGGTGCCTGAGGAACAACACCCAAGGGTTTCTGCTGGTCTACACATAAATAGGCACACAAGTGTCTCTGTACATACATCAACACAAAAACTTAGAAGTAAAGTAGGCACGCACACACACACAAACACACACACTACAGAGTTCTATCTTTATATAAAGACATGAAACCACAATTTTCCTATATTATTCACATTATGTTGTCAGTGCTATATTCTTCATATCCAATGTATATATGAAGGGAGAAGGCTTGCGGGAAGCTGTGAGAAATAGTGGCCTCTTTGAGCATAACTTTAATAAGCCTCCCACAGACCTTGCACTAGTGCTAATAAGCTCAATTTAGCACTGCATATGTAGGCTACAGAGTCATTTGTCTATGGTCACTGAAAGAATCAATGATGTATTTCTGGAAGGGAAAAATGTATTTGGGAAATGGAAAAATCTAATATTCTTAGAATAAGTAGCAAAATGAGTGAGAACATGCCGAGTGCTTTGCAGCGAGGTACATTTGGGACCAGTGCACAGAGATTAGAAAAGGTCATCTCAACACATACACTCAATATCAGATTTATAAACACAATTTGCTTATTGAAGAAGGCTGTTTTATGAGCATGATTTACAGATCAGAAAATATTTGTATTAATGTTGTTCTGTTTTTTTTTTCCTTCTCTCAGCTTGGCACAAATTCAGTTTTTTGAATGGAACACCAAAGGAAAGCATCCTAGAGCTGAAAGGGGGAATAAACAGCATGTGTGGATGCTGGTAGTCTCAGGCACAAGGCTATTAATTCAAATTGTCATGAAGGGTAGTTGAGGAGGTAGCTCAGTAGGTAAAGTCCTGGTAGTGCAAGTATGAAAAATTGAGTTCGAATCCCTGACAACCATGTCATAGTAAAGGTAAGACAGGCCACCAGTGATCCTTGTACCCAGCAGGCATGGACAGGGGATCCCCAGGGCAAGTTGACAAGCTGGGGAAAAAAAAGCCAATGGTGGTGTTGAGTGGGGAATTCTGACTCTGGATACAAGGTAGAAGTCAATGAGAGAGGATATCTTATGTCACCTCTGACCTCCACCTGCATTCTCACCTGAAATAAGGTCAATCCACACACAATATTCACAACTGTTGCCTCCCCAACTCTCTCTCTCTCTCTCTCTCTCTCTCTCTCTCTCTCTCTCTCACACACACACACACACACACTCTCTCTCTCTCTCTCTCTCTCTCTCTCTCTCCCTCTCTCTCTCTCTCTCTCTCTCTCTCACACACACACACACACACACACACACTCTCTCTCTCTCTCTCTCTCTCCCTCTCTCTCTCTCTCTCTCTCTCTCTCTCTCTCTCTCACACACACACACACACACACACACACACACACACACACACACAATTGTAAACATTCCAGACAGATGTGACTGTCCAGTCAATATAAATATATAAACTTTCTTGGCTTTCCAAGAGTCCAGACAAGCAAGAAGAGTGGGGTCTGACTTACAAAATATGACAGATAAACCAGGAGACATCTTGTCTATTTGTAAGACCAGAGTACAGAAGAATTTAAGGAGGTAACAAGAAGAGCTCAAAGAAAGCCTAAGATATGGAAGGGGAAGAAAATCAATAATGATAAAAAGAAAAAAAATTATGATAACTCAAAAATAACCTCCCAATTCAGTTGTTTTCTGGGGCCAGGGAGATGGCTCTGTCTCTAGTTAGGAAGGCGTGAGGACCTGACATTGAGTCTCAGAACACAAGTAAAAAAAAACAATATTGACCACATGTGTCCATAATGTAACCTCTAGGGAAACAGAGACAAGCAGTTTCCTGGTCTTTACTGGCCTTCCAGCAGCATAGGCCCATTTTGTTGCTGGTGATCAGGGGAATTTTCCATATGTAACTTGTCTTTGACAGGGCCTGGCAAATGGTTGATGTGGGAATTCCCTCTGTATGCTGTGATTACCATTAATCAATAAAGAAAACTGGCTTGGTCTGACAGGGTAGAATAGATATAGGATGGGAAATCTAAACTGAATGCTGGGAGAGAGAAGGTGGAGTCAGGGAGAAGCCATGTAGCCTTGCAGGAGACAGAAGCCAAAACTTTGCCTGTAAGCCACATGACAATACCCAGATTAATAGACATGGGTTAAATTAATGTGTAAGAGTTAGCAAATAAGAAGCTAGAGCTAATGGGGTAAACAGTGATTTAAATAATATAGTTTCTATATGGTTATTTTGGTTCTGGGCGGCTGGGACAAATAAGCAGCCTCCTCCTGCAGATGGTTAGTCTGGGTGAAACGATTATAAGTAGAAAAGGATTTAAGATAATTCAGGAAAATGCAGCTTGCTAGTTTATTCATACTTTGGAAAAGTTCACAGAAGAAATATGAAATTTGTGTTTTCTCTTAAAATCATATTGCCATGATCAATACTAGTGGGGGATTACATCAGCAAAGTCCTAGCTTATGTCTTGATTGCTGTCTTTTTTCTTGAATTTAGCAGACTTACATTTTCAGCTTTCTAATGGTCAACACCACAGAATGATGGAGGAGGGTCATCTTTCTATCTGTTGTTTCATCGGTTAAGTAATAAAAAAAAACTGCTTGGCCTCTGATAGGGTAGAATTTAGATAGGCAGAGTAAACAGAACAGAATGCTGGGAGAGAGAAGCTGAGTCAGTGAGTCGCCATGATTCTCCTACTCCAGGCAGACACCGGTTAAGATCATTCCTGGTAAGCCAGCTCGTGGGCTACACAGATTATTAGAAATGGGCTAGGCCAGGTGCGAGAGTTAGCCGAGAAAAGGCTAGATATAATGGGCCAAGCGGTGTTTAAAAGAATACAGTTTCTGTGTAATTATTTCAGGGCATAAGCTAGAGCTAGCCATGTGGGTGGCTGGGTGCCAGGGACACAGCCCAGCTGCTCATATTACTACAGATTGGTGCCCAGCGTGATGTACTAAATCCACTTAAAAACCTGAGAAGGCTTAAAAATAAGGGAGAGAGAGTTTAACACAAAATTTTGCTGTTTGTTTGTGGCGTGCTTTAGAGAGATTTCCTGATTCAGCAACAGCAGCAAAAAAAAAAAAAAAAAAAAAACCGCAGTGTCATTTTAAAGCACGGCTTCCTGGGACTGTGCCACCAGTGCAAACTCTGGCTTTAAAGCATTTCAAGGGCTTTTATGGGACTGGATGTTTGTGTTCCCACTTGATATCGGAAGGAGAGTGCTCTAAGACCATGCTGATGGCTCAGTGCTCCCCGCCTGCACCTGGGCAGAGAGCCGAATCAGGCTTAGGCAGGTGGGAGAGCATGGCGGATTCCTGCCGCCATACAGAAACATGTTTTTAGACTGTGCAGTTCTCTGTATGTCAGATTTGGATGTAACTTGGATGAAAAGAATTTCTGTGCTGCACGCTCAGTCTCAGAATTAAAGTGCTGAGTGCTGCTCCTACCTGGCAGCCCCAGACCTAGCACAAAATGGTACGTCCTCCATTTGAAATTTTCCTGACTCAGCAGCAGGAAAAAAACCTGTGTTGTTTTAAAATGCCGGCTTTCTGGGCCGTCCTGCCAGGGCAAACTCTGACTGTTTGAGGCAGGAGGGCCAACTACAGAGAGAGGACTTGTGTGTTGTCTGTGGACATAATGCTGCAACTTACTTGCTGGCCGGAACCTTGAAATGCCATAGAGTTATGGCAGTAAACATGGCTACAGCCAGTACCTCAGCTATGAGGCTGGAAAGCTAAGGAATGGGCTGGATCTAGCTGGCAAAGCCACGGCTTTAGTCCTACTGAAATTGCTTGGTACATTAAAGACTCATGTGGTCAGAAAAAGAGAGATATATAGTAAAAAGAGATTCAAAGACAAAGAAAATTTCTAAATGCTTTACAGTGTGTTAAAAATATATGCACACTAAAAGTTCTTAAAAGTAAAAAAATGAAAGAAAGAGAGTTGTTGGGTGTGGTAGTACACACCTTTAATCCCAAAACTTGGGAGGCAGAGGGAGATTGACCTCTGTGACTTCAAGGTGTGGTAGC